CACATCAAGGTTTTCTAAAACACTATTTTTTGAACCCGCATCTAGATACCAATTGAAAATTTGCTAGCTGCACCAAGAGGGGGGGTGAATTGGATTATTAAAAACTTCTATTAATGAAAAGAAATATCCTTCTTTTATGACTATTATGTGTAAGCGAATTTCATTTCCATAAAAAGATAGATAATCAATTTCTTCACGCATAATCGCCAATATAAAATATATGCCGTTGAAATAAAGTGTAGAAAAAATAAAGGAAAAGAAACACACCAATTAATAGGTGGTTCAGAGTCAAACCATGACCTACGCCACTCCCCGGAGGCACCCTGCGAGTATTACACTAAACCTTTATGATCTTCCTTTAGCTCCCACAGCTAGGCGTGAGAAGGCCTTACACAATCACTTCCACCATCCCGGTGCGCGAGAGCCAGGTCCTTTGACACCAATGAGATCTTCTTATTCCAAAACTTCCTTCAAGACGAAACCTTGACAATTCCGATGGTACTGAGGTGCAAGCCTCCCGGAGCAAACGTGTGATCTTTTACGACTCCCTGAAACCCCCTCCAAGGACTCTTCTCCTCTCTCAAACTTCACCCTTTCCTCTCTCTCCCTATTCAAGTTCTCTCTTCAAGTTTCTCCAAAAGAATGAAGACACATTAGGCCTGACCAAAGCTCTTAGCTAGAAGTCTTATGGAGTTGCTTTAAATAGAGGCTCAAAACCCTAAAAATACTCAATTTCACCGTCAAATATCGTACCGATACGATCTCAAGATCGTCCAGTCGAATCGTGCCAAGAAGAAAATGACCATGTTATGATGACAATTAGACATATGATCAGTTCGTACAGTACGATCCAAATGAAAATTTCTAGCAGTTTTGTGTAACTCAGATTAAACTTAGCATATTTCAAAACATCGGTACCGTATGATATTATCGCAGTACTATTTACGAGTACGATTATACAACTGTTTCAAATTAAAATTTTGCCTAATTTAAATGGACGATGGGGCTTTCTAATGTATTAACAGATCGATAGTATAATTGGCTGATCGATATACAGCACATTAGTTATATTCAAAATTAATTTTTTCAGGAAAAATAATAATTTTAATTTATTTCTGTCTACACCAATATCGTAAGTATGAAATTAAATTCGTACAGTACGATGAACAGAAAGTTAAAATATTCCATAATTATTTTTTGCTCCCTCTATGTTGTGTGCTTGTCATCAAACTAACATTACATCATTATAAGACTTGACTTCAATAAATGAAATTACAGGACTCATTTTAATACGATGAATTCTACGCAATCTTTGAGCCTTGAATCCTTTAAAGAACGATGCATGATGTACCTGAAATATTAGTTAACATAGAAAGAAATATGCACTGCAAATACCGGAGAAATAAAAGATTAATAAATATTATTTCGTTATTCATCAAAATCATAAACTCGGAAGCCCGAGTTGCAAGAATTAGGTGAAATGTGTAGCCTTGATGGAAGGAAGCAAGAATAACCAGGAAAATTAAATTAGCATACATGATAACTAGGCATAGGGTATGAAATGTATTTAATTCATAAGGAGATGATATAACTGTAATAAGTTGGTGGACATCGTTTGTTCCTATAAGCTCGATAGAGATCTAGCATATGCTCGAAAAAACATCATAATTAAAAAAGATTCATTAGGAAAAATATGTTATTTATATTCATCAATCCAAAACATTATTTCCATATAGCGTATTCATTATCTTTATCTAATTTTATTTAAGTGATTGAATCTCCATAACATCAATTTTTATTAAGTATGGTAATTATTGAATTAGAGTAAATAGTAGTAGTTATTTATAAAAAAGAATACTTCCTTGTGGGTTCAATACTCTACTCTATCCATTTTTTTCTTGATTCGGCATGTATAGTAACCTAAATTAAGGGGGGTTTACTAATTTATATTAAAGAAAACCAAAGCATTATTTAAAGGAGATAGATCCTTAAGCATTCATTGTTATAATTCAAATTTGCATTTACCCATTTCCCATCAATCTATTATACATATTCTTATAAAGTTCTGAACATGTACACCAAAGAAACCTAAACAAATGACCTACCCTCTAATATATTTTACCACCCATATGAATGTAATGCATGAATATGAAGCAAATGTTTGAAGCAGCGTATATAAAAGAAATTTTAATTTTTTTTTATTTTAAAATTTGAATACATACCAGGGATAATATAAAAGAAAGGTGTCCATGCTCCATCACAACAAGCAAGTTTTTTTGCAACTATAAATGATGTAAATTTATAAGCATGCTGGCTTAATTAGATCTTATAGTCTTTTATAGAATTTAAAAAGGAATTTCTCTCAAAGGGAGATAGATTATTATCTTTTGGAGCCCTATAAGTATATGTAATAAAAAAACTTTATTGATTTCACAACTCTTTATTTTTATAATCTAGATTTTTTACATTTACATTGGACACTTTACATGTACATTAGATCTAAGATACATTCTACACTGACTTTTTATAATAAGAAAATATAATAATGTAAATATAATAAAGTGTAATGCAGGTGTATACAACCTAATGAATATAAGGCAACCTAGTATTGTCTAAAATGCAACAACATGAAACTAATCATTTATGACATCCAAAGTGTACGAAAGTAAATAGACATACATATGATACCATCCAAGCAAGGCATTCATATCACATCAAACCAAACCATTGGTCTAGCATGGGTTAAAGTTAGCTGTCTTAGTAAACCATCTAAAGCGTGTGATGAATGTAAATAATATTTTGTTTTATATGTTAAATTGCTAGTAAATCCATATTTTAGTTGTGTTGTGTAAAAAAATATAGAAAGACATAAAAATTCAAAGTATCATATAACACCACAACGTCAAACATTATACCCTCGCAACACTATCATTTACATCACTAGAGAGCTCAATATGGACATGGTGGACATGGTGGTGCCAAGTATCTATTTGACAGCTCTGCAACATTAGAGGAGTCAAAACTATTAAGTACAGTCTCTATCAGCATATCACCATAGTGCTAATTTCTAATGCCGCTAAGTTGAGGGGAGTGCCACGTGGACACCACAATGCTCAACCATCAGCAGCACTCTAGTGCTATAATTATAACAAATATGGACATGATCTTCCAGTGATGTGACACATCGATTCATTAAATAGAAGGTCCATGATATAAAGCATCGATAAGGAGGAAATTCTTTAGTACTTGTTTTGATTAAAAAAAAATATAATCATTTAAGTATAGATAATTTTGGAAAATATTTAATTATTTTTGGGAATATTGAATTTCCCAAAGATAATTAATTGAAGTTTTAAATTCCATTTGTAATGTAAGTCTGTGAGTTCAGTCACTTAATTAGTTTTAGTCTTCATAGCGCTTCTCTTTAATATCTATTGGAGTGACAACTAAAGGAACTTAGGGAGCACTAGATCCACTTCATAAGAATGTTTGGTCAATGTTTATGGTTTTAATTCTCTAAATTCAATGAGAAATGTAGAGGATATCATTGAATCCATTCAGTGATATCTTTAATTATGTACTTTCTTTCCTTTATACAATTAATAAAAATGTGTTTTTTTACTTGTTCTTTATATCTCAGTAAATTTTATTATTTTGGATTATTGGTGTAAGTAGAAGGTGGAGCATTAATGAGTTCTCTTAATTATTAATTTAATGATATTTTTAGTATACCAGGTCTTCATTTAATATATATAGTAGCCATATATGTAGTTAATATCAGGGTAATATGGAGCTTAGGAATAAAAGAGTAGGCATAATTAGGTATATTGGATTGGTATGATGCAATCATAAACATAGTTCTTTATATATAACAAATCTATAGAGATGAATTATAATTAGGGTTTTATAACAGTACATACTTTACTTACTCTTTTGAGAGTTTTATAGGGTGAAAAACTATGGGAGTTTAGAGTGGTGTATAGGTTGGAAGGTTTAATCTATCCTTTGTTTCTTCATGCTCAACTAAGCAGTCATTGATACATATGCTCTTAATAGCATCAATATAAAAGAGAATCATTAGGAATCATATTGTATTTACATTCTATATATCTATCCAAAATATTTTATCTAAATAGTGTTCATTCAAATTTTTATTGATTTTAAATTAAGTGATTGAATCTCCACCAAAATATATTTTTATTGAGTATGATAATAATTGTAATTGTTGTAGATAGTACTAGTATTTGTAAGTAAATATTCTTCCTTGTGAGATCGATACACTACTCTATCATAATATTACTTAATTTAGCATGTATACTTTCATATATTAAGTAGGGTTTTTATAATTTTTATATAAAAGAAAACAAAAATATTATTTTGGGATTGATAAAACCCTAATTTATTTTTCACAATTCTTTAGGTTACTCTACCTCCCTGATTAAATTTTTAGCACTATTATCATGGAAGAATTTGTTTTATTTATAAAAATTACTATATTTTTGAATCAATTGCATAATTAGTTCTACTATTTTATTGATTATATAATTGTGGTTGCTTGCTTAGAAGCTATAGAAAGAAATTATTGCTAGCTTTTGATTAAAAATTTGAGAGAATCCTTTCTAGACATAGATTATTCTAGGTCTCCTATAGATTTTTCAAACCTTATCATAAATGGAATTCATTAGAGTATAAATAGTCCTTGCCTCCAAGCTAATAACTTTGAATTAAATCCTGCAATCATTCATATGGTACATAATTCTCAATTTAGAGGAACTCACATTGAAGATACTAACACATATTTAGGAAATTTTTTAGAAATTTGTGCAATATTTAAGTATAATGGTGTTAGTGATGATTCCATTAAACTTAGATTATTCCCAATTTCTCTAAGAGATAAGATAATTTTTTTTTTAAATTCTTTACCCACAGGCTCTATTACCATATGGAATGAGTTGGCCTACAAATTTCTAGGAAAGTATTTTCCACCTTCTAATACTACAAAACTTAGAAATGATATTACTTGTTTTAATCAGTTAGAAAGATAATCTATTTATGAGAGTTAGGATATATTCAAGGAGATGCTTAGAAAGTTCCCTCACCATGCCTTACCTGATTGGTTAATAATTCAAATTTTTAATAATGGATTGGTAGGATCTATTAGAGACATAATTGACGCTATAGCTGGTGGTTTTTTTATTTCAAATCCTTAGGGTGCTTAAAAATTAGTTGAGAAAATGATAGCAAATAATTTATAGTCACCTATTGATAGGGTGAATCCTAAGAGAGTGGCAAGAAAAGGAAGATTTGTGATTATGAATTAGTGGCATTAACTAAAGAATATAGTGCCATTTTACAAAAAAAAAAAAAAAAAAAAAAAAAAAAAAAAAAAAAAAAAAAAAAAAAATTAAAAACTTAAGGATCCTAGGAATTATTATCATTCCTTTAACTATTGGAGATAAATTCTATGGGAGAGCTTTATTTGACTTGAGATCTGGTATTAATGTCATGCCCCCATCCATCTTTAAGGTTTAGATAGAGTAGAGATTCAACCTACTTTCATTACTCTTAAAATGGATGATAGATCTTTTACTTATCCAAAATGTGTAATAGAGGATGTTTCAAGGTTGATAAGTTCATTTTCCAAGTTGATTTTATTATTTTATACAGGGAAGAAGATAGGGAAATACATCTCATTTTAGGATGAACTTTCTTAGAAATAGGAAAATCTATGATTGATGTTCAAAAGGGGGGATTAATTATGCGTGTTTAAGATCAGAAGGTGATAATTGATGTATTGAAATCTATAAAAATACCTCAAGAAATGAATGAAGATTGTTTTAGTATGGATTTGGAGGACATATTAGTAGAAGATCTAAGAAAAAACAATTTTGGAAGGAGAAATGATTTAGAAGATAAGAAAGAAAAAAATCCAATCTAATGGGCATAATAAAATAAATTCTATAGAAGAATGTTAGAACAAATGATATTTTGAACGATTGGAAATTTCAAATTTAGATAAAACTCTGAATGAGTCTACTGAAGTGACCCCAACTTTAGAACTTAAAGCTTTACTTGGTCATCTTAAATATTCATATTTGTGCAAAAATTTAACTGTTTGTATAAACATTTCTATAAATCTAGAACAACATTTAGAGATTAAATTAATTAAGATTTTAAGTAGCTACACAAAAGCTTTTGGGTAGACTATTGCTAGCATTAAAAAAAAAATATTCTTCCATTTGTATGCTTGAAATATTAATGGAAGTAAATTTATACCTAAGCTAATCCTCAAAGAAGACTTAATCCTTCCATGAAATATGTTATTAAAAAGTGATTCTTAAATGGTGAGATGCCAGGATTATCGACCCAATTTTTGATAGCTATTGGGTTAGTCTCATTTATTTTGTTCTTAAGAAGAGAGGATTAACTGTTATATCTAATGAACATAACGAATTATTATCCACTATAACTATCACGAGTTGGAGGATTTGTATTGACTATAGGAATCTAAATAAAGCAACAAAAATAGATCATTTTCTTTTCTATTTCTTGATCAAATGCTTGATAGGTTGGAAGGGATCCATTTTGTTACTTTTTAGAAGGATATTATGGCTATCATAAAATTCCTGTTGGACCTGAGGATAAAAAAAAACACTACTTTAACCTGCCCTATAGAAGTTTTTCTTTTAGGGGAATGCCTTTTTTATGTAATGTTCTTGTTATTCTTTAAAGATGCATGATGTCTATCTTTTCAAACTTAATTGAGTAGGGTATTGTAATATTCATGGATGTTTTGTTCTTGTATTTGGCACTACATTTAATTCATATATAGAACAATTAATTACTATTTTAAAAAGATGTGTTAAAACTAATTTTGTTCTAAATTAGGAGAAATGTCAATTCATAGTAACTTAAGGCATTGTCTTAGGAAAATAATATCTAGGAAAGGATTGGAAGTAGAAATTACATAAATTCAGGCAATTGAGAAACATTCTTCACCAATTTTTGTTAAAAAGATTAGAAGCTTCTTAGGACGTGTTGGTTTTTATAGAAGATTTATAAAGGATTTCTCTAAAATTTTTAAGCCTCTATGTCAGTTGTTAGAGAAATATATTCCTTCTATATTTGACCCTGCATGTCAAAAATCTTTCAATAGTCTAAAGCATCATTTGACTACTTCTTCTATTGTTATTGCTCTTGATTGGACTTTACCTTTTGTAATGATATGTGATGCTAGTGATGTTACTGTTGGAGTAGTTTTGGGGCAAAAGAGAAAAGAAATTCTATTTTATCTTTTATGCTATCAAAACTTTGAATTTTGCACAATCTAATTATATAACCATTGAAAAAGAATTATTATCTATTATTTTTTGCTTTTGATAAGTTCATATCACATTTAAATGGTACAAAGATTATTGTTTACACTGATCATGCTGCCATCGAATATCTAATGACAAAGAAAGACACAAACCAAGATTAGTTAGGTAGATTTAATTGTTATAAGATGCTGATGTAGACATTTTTGATAAAAAGGGTAATGAAAATCAAATTGTTGATCGTATATATAGACTTTAATAGTATGTATTAGTTGATGTTGAAATTAATAAAAAATTCAACGATGAACAGTTATTTTCTCTATAGTTGAACAAATCTCCATGTATGCTAAAATTATAAATTTCATTGTGAGTGGAGTACTTCCTTATGAGTTATCTACATCTCAATAAAGGAAGTTAGTGTGTGATACTGAATCTTACTTTTGGGATGAATCCTATTTATTTAAATCTTGCAAGTATCATATCATAAGAAGATGTGTTCTTGACGAGGAAAGAAATTCTATTATTAATGAGTGTTATGACTCAAACTATGGGGGGCTTTTTGGAGAATTTAAAACTACATCTAAAATACTTTAAGCTGGATTTTATTGGCCTACCCTATTCAAGAATGTGAAGGAATATATAAAAAGATGTGATCAGTGCTAAAGGGTAGGAAATATAACTAAAAGAAATGAAATGCAAATGAATTATATATTGGAAATAGAAATATTTGATGTTTGGGGATTAAATTTTATGGGACCTTTTGTGCCATCGTAAGGAAACCAAGATATTATCATTCATGTTAATTATGTTTCTAAATAGATTGAAGCTAAGAAATAATGCTCAAATTGTGATTAACTTCTTAGAGATTTTTTTTTTAAAAGATTTGGGATGATATGGAGGATGTCATTTTTTTAATAAAAGATTATAAACTATTCTTAAGAATTTGGAGATTTTCCATAGGATAGCTACTATTTATCATCCCCAAACCAATGGGCAAGCTAAAATTAGTAATTGAGAAATTCAAGATGATATTTGAAAAAATTGCCAATTTTAATAAGAAAAACTGGACAATTAAATTGGATGATGTATTTGGGGCCTATAAAACTGCATTTAAAACTTTAATTGGTAAGATATGCTATAAATTAGTTTTTGGGAAAGCTTGAAATCTTACTATGAAATTAGAGCATAAGGAATTCTGGGCAGTCAAAGAATTGTTTTCAACTTTTAAAAGTGTAAATGAAAAAAGTCTACTACAATAGAGTGAATTAGAAGAAATTAGAAATGAAGCTTATGAAAATGCAATAATTTATAAATAAAGTGTTATAAAATAGCATGATAAAAGAATTCTTTAGAAAGAATTCACTCATGGTCAACATATTTTACTTTTTAATTCTATTGTTAAGTTATTCCCTAGAAAATTAAAATCTAGTTGGTTAGGGCCATTCATTGTCATATAAATATTTCCTTATGGGTTGTAAAAATATAAGATAAGAAAAGCTTGCATATCTTTAAAGTAAATAGCTATAGATTAAAACCTTATTTAGGAGGTGATATTGTTCAATTGCAAGAAATAATTGAATAGGTTAATTTTGAAAAGTAGTGATTGGTATTATCTAGCTGAGGACTTAAGACTTAACACTTCTAGGAGGCAACCTATGTATGTATTATGCTAGCACCCATTATGTTCTATGTTCAACATATATTTCATGCAACTTTTATCATTCTTATGAGAGCATGCATTTGTAGTGTTTGTTTCTATGTTTTATTTACATATTAGTAAATTCCTTTCATGCATAATTTAATATTATCCTCTAAGTACTTATATATTATAATTATTTAATTAACCCTTATAAAAATGACAATTAAAAATTAAATAAAATTAGGATAATTATAAAATCCTAGATCTAATTTTGAATGAACTTTTTTTATACTTTATAGGTTGGAAAACAAATACCCAAGTCATTTCACTATTTGAGTAATTATGCTAATTTGAATTTATAAGCTATACCTTTATGAAATTAACTTTTAAATTGTAAGATGAATAATTAGTATTAAAAGTTAGATATGAGTATACGAAAATTTAAAATTATAACTAACATGAAGAAGATAATAGTAATATCATTAAGTCCTTACATTAAAATCATTAATATTATGTGAAGGTCTAAAGTAGAAGCTGATATTCAAAATAATTAATTATATACTCCATAAAAGAAAAATAAAAAGAACAATACAATAGTTCTCAAAGAAAAGGAAAAGAAAATGAAATGATTCAAAATAAAAAGTTGAATCCATTTAAAAATTGGTATCAGTGATAAGATAGTGTTGCAACTAGTGCTCCTGAGTTTATGGTTTTAATGATAATAAATATTACTGATTGAATCTTTATGTCTCTTAGTATTTGTAGTGACTATTTGCTTTTGTGTGTAGTAATATTTCAAGTACATAATGCACCATTCAATGAAGGTTCAAGGCTCAAGATTGGATAAAATAGGATATGTTGAAAGAGTCTATGATTTTTTTTATTTAATTTTTATTTTTTAAGTCAAGTCCTATAAGGGTGTATGCTAGTTTAGTGACCATGCACACACACTCATGGAAGTGATATAGTGAGAAAACTAAATGTTTTGTTTTCATAACTAATCATACTCTATGATTAACTATTCAAAAAATCATTACAATCACTAATTGTGTAATTAAAGCTATTCAAACTAATCATATTGGACGATCTTTATCATATAGGAAGATAAGTTGAAATCATGATCTTAGCTGCCAATCATAATTTAGGCTATAA